TTTATTATAACAAAATACCCGTATAGCCGAAGTATGGAGAACACCAAGGGAATGTAACAGATTTTTAAGCCAAATCAATTCGCAAGTGATGGTGGCCATAAATATTCTGCCTCGGCGGACGAACGTGAAACTGTAACATGCTTTTCCGTACGCCATGAAATAGGAGATCCCTCAAGCATGACCAAATAACTGGCAACAGACCGGTGAGTAAGCAGGCAACTGGCCCAATCAGAGTCACAGAATGCAACCAAGGAAAGTGGTGAATCAAATCTGAGCAATATGCCTTGACCACGATGTGCTTTAAGATAGTGGAGTATGCGGAGCACATCTTCCCAATGAGCTAACTGTGGGTGATGCATGAACTGTGAGAGGATATGTACCGAGTAACTTATATCGAGACGAGTGAGTGTAAGATAAATCAACTTACCAACCAGCCTCCGGTAGCGTTCGGGGTTGCTATAATATGGCCCCGTGTCGGTTTGCAAACCATGGTTTTGAATCATGGAGAAAGAAATTGGATTTGCCCCTAGGATACCTGTTTCTGCTAGAATATGAAATACTTATTTGCGTTGACACAAAAAAATACAGGTAGGATTTCTAGCAACCTCAATACCCAAAAAATACTTCATGCGTCCCAAATCTTTAACAGGAAAGGAATTAGCCAAATAAGTCTTAAACTCAATAATCATGGAATGATTGTTGCCCGTAATAAGCAAATCGTCCACGCACACCAAGACACACAGAATATGATTATCACGACGCAAAGTGAACAAGGAGTAGTCAGCGTGAGATTGTTGAAACCCATAACGATGCAAAGAACCTGTCAATGTAGAAAACCAGCACTGCGGGGTCTAACGTAATCCATAAAGAGATCGTAAGAGATGACAAACATGTCCTAGTGTGGACACAGAATAACTCGGCGGTAAATGCATATGTACCTCCTCACGGATGTACATATGCATGTATATTGACGATATAATTTATAATAGTACCTCCGTCCCACTAACATTGGGACAAGAGGGAGTGACGAATATTTAGAAAAGTGAGTTTATGTGGATGATATTGAATTGATAAAGTAAGAATAAAGAAAAAATGATTTAGAACCACACAAACTTAACCAAATTTTGTATGAGACAATATTAGTTGGTTTTTCCCAAAAGATAAAATGGACCAATCTTAACGGAACGGATGGAGTACAATACTAATAATTAACCAAAATTTTGAACAATTTTATTTATTTCTCAAATTATCACATAAATGTCAATGTACATACTACATAATTTATAGGGGCAAAAGCAGAGACAATAAGTAATAAACAAGAACAAAACATGTTCCAAAACACAAAAAGGCTCCTACATCAAAAATAGATAATAGACGAGAAGACGTCTTGAACATTTTGCATGTTCAAATTTTGATAGAATGAAACCATAGAGTTAACAAGCCTCCAAGAGAACTCAACAGTCAAGACAACAAACATAAATCATGACAGTGTTACATGTTAATGAGCAATAAAGCCACAATGAGGGGCGGCCCTAGGAGGGGCAGGGGAGGCGGGAGCCCTAGGCCCAAAAAAAAGAAAAACATTTAGGCCTATGTTTAGTTCTTTATAACAGATGTGAGTAAGCTGATTTTTCAGTGCTAAACTAATATTTTTTTGGGTTAAATTGTTTTAGGTGATTTCGGGTGGATTTTTTTGATGAAAATATATGAGAATGTTCTCTATGAAGTGTAGGTTATGTCCGCAAAATTTCAGTTTAAAATTCAATCTAAAAATCGGTTAAATAAATTATTGAAAAATAATACATTTTTATGCGTATTTTGGTGTAGTGTTTTTCAATAATTTATTTAACTGATTTCCTAATTGAGTTTTAAGCTGAAAGATTCTAAACTTGATGAAAACATGCTCAAAAAAATTCCACTTAGAAGCATATTAGTCTGATATGATTATTTGATTAATTTATTAATTGATTTCATTTATAGTTGATTGATTTTTTAATTGTTGATTGTTATCTATTGAGTGTTGGTGTTATAATTTGTTGATTTTGTTAGACAAAAAAAATCAGTTATAATAAAATTTATAAATTTAAATAATTTCAAGGTGTAAGAAAAATGATTGATTTGGATAGGATAAAGCAAAAAAGAACAGAAGATTAGAGAAATCGACACTAAGTAAAAAGGCTCAATAGAAAAGTTTATTTATATAAAGAAGTCAAATTCTGAATGTTCTCAAGATGGGAACTTAGAGAAGAAAAATGGTTTAACTATCGAAAATGAAACGTTTCAGAATGATCACATCTTTGGAGTGGAAAATTTAGGAGTTGATATTAATAGAGTTAATTCCTTAAATATGACTAAAACATATTGGTAAAGTACAGAAATAGGACCACCATTATTTTCTTCCTAAATAAGAACCACCAATACTATAATATTATTGGTTTAGACACTAGAGAGTTTTATAATTTTTTATAAATATCTAGAAATACTATTATTATGCATGTTAGTTTAGATAAAAAAGGATTTTGCAACTTTTTTTAAGATTAGACACATTTTAATTCTCCGCCTAGGCCATCAAACACACATGACCGGCTTTCGTCACGATATTTGTAGCAATGCATGAAACCTTATTGATCTTCTCCGCTGAGTTTATTGCATTTTTGCAATGTCGATAAGGCAATGAACACATTAAATTAAACACTTCAAGACTTCTAGTACGTGAAATGATTTTAGCGTCTTACTGATTTGGCTTTCTTTTTTGGCCAACAAAGATAAACTAGTACATGTAATGATGTAATCATTGAGTTGCTAACTTTAAACTAGGCATAAGATATGAAGTTATGTCATACTACCTCCGTCCCCCTAAGATAGGGACAAAGGAGAGTAGTGCGGTTTATAAGAAAAGTATATTATATGATTAATAATGAATTGATAAAGTCAAAATAAAGTAAATATGAATTACAGCAATCCAAATATTACCAAATATAGTATGAGATAAATTTAGTGGGACGGACGGAAAAGGAAAAATGAGACAATTATAGTGAGGTATAGGTAGTAATTATTAATGCAACCTTGCTTTTTCAAAAATTAATTAGTTACCCCCTGAATTTTGATTATATGCCCCCTCGAGTTAATATTTGCTAAATTAAATTCAATATAACTCTTAAATTCAGTTGTCTATAAACTTAATTTTTAAAGTATAATACAATTATACTTTAATTGAAGTATTTGTTCTTGAATAGTTCGAACTGCAATTGTAAACATTTCGTGAACCCAAGTGATGTTTCACATTTCACATTTCAAGGAAAGGGGTTGTTTAATTGCACGGGATTTAAACTACCTAAAAACATGGCTTTTTCGAGGTATTAATTAAGTTAACATGTCACACTCTTTATGTGCATATTGTTTTTAGGTTACAGGTGGGGTTTAATGCACCAAACCCACCGTGATATGAAAATTCAGCGCATTAGTCATCTGTGATTTGAAAAATGCGTCAAACCTCCTTGTGTTTTAATTAATTATGCGCAAAATCTCTTCTATGAACAAATTCAATTGTCAAATAAAAGAAAAATGATTAACATTTTTATATGATTTAAAGATTTTGACATATTTACTTACGTATTCAATTAGAATATTAGGAAAAGTGATTTCCAAATCGTTAAATTTATTCATAAAAGGGGTTATGTGCATGATTAATTAAAACACAAGGGGGTTTGACACATTTTTCAAATCACAGGGGCTAAGGCACTTAATTTCTATATCACGAGGGGGTTTGGTGCATTAAACCCGTTACAGGTGTTGAACACTTTGCTTTCTGGAAGTAGTAGTTTGACAATCTTTCTTTCCTCTTGAGAAGTGTTGGACAATTGGGTGCAACAGATATGACTCGCTCTTTGCAGGTTAAGATCTCATTAACTACAATCATATTCATTCCATACTTTTCCAGAGCCATTTTAGCCTTCTACAATCATATACATTTTTTTACTTAAAGATGCTATGTGAAAGTTCTAGCTTTATGTTCTACGGCATGTCTAAGTTTGAAAATCACATAGCCTTTTGCTTTGTAGTTTACTTTACTTTTTAGGACTTAATAAAATTATTAAATGATCGAATGTATCATTCTAAAAGATGAATGTGATTTTATTACTAGCAAAAGATTGTTTATATAAATTGTTTGACATTAAGTGTAATCCGAATGTAGGTGCATCATCTAAACATTGTATTATTATTTTGCATAGGGGGGTTTATATCTACTTTCTATTTTACCATTTCAATAACTCAGATTGCTATGCTTGAACTTCTTTTTTGCCTTTATCCTCTATTGTCACCAACAAGGTAGAGGCCATTTTTCCATAGCCTTTTGACTAGTCAATTTCTAATAGCTATTTCTCTTGTACTTGAGGATTACAGAAAGCTATAAGTGCCCATTCAGTAATGAGCAATGAAAGCATCTTTGACACTTGAGTGGAACTGCATGTCCAAAGGACCTGCTCCAGCCTGGATCTTATGCTCTCTCAAGCCAAATTGTATATGTGATAACTTATTTTCCATATAAGATCTTTTCTTTCATCCTTGTTGATAGATAATTTCAGCTGAAAGTGACTGCCAGCTAGCTTCTATATAGATATTTTTTATTGCCAGTTATTTTTATAAACATTCACTCATTACATGTACTCATTATTATATTTTAATGCTTGTATCATTGCAGGAAAAAATGGGGAGGCTGAATTCAATCAACTGATCACTAAGAAGTACTCGGCTTACCTTAAGGTTACGGTGTTGCATGTACTCGGCTTACCTTAGTTTGGTGCCACGCTTTTCCGGTATTAGTTATTTTAGCATAAAGAGTTAGATTATGTTTTTGAAATTGTGGAGTGGTCTTTTTAACCCTTTTCTCTTTTCTTGTTTACTAGTACTACTTATTCACTTTGAGCCAATAAATAGACCAGATTTTGCATTTCGAAGAGCCATTCCATTGTGTTATTTTTCTTACACATGAGGTCAGGTTTTTATCTCACAACTGTTGTATATAAGACCAACAAAGCATTAAGAATCACAGCAATAAGAATCACAGAGAATGCTAATAGAATCACAGGGAAAGATAAGAATCACAGCAATTTAATGGAGTAATTGAGTTTGGGATGCTAATACCCACAATAATGTGTCTAGAGCCACAGAAAATCATAAATAGCGACATCATTTTAACTATACATATAGGTTTTAGAATCCAAGGACAACCCAGGTCTCCACCATTGGTGAATTCCATGAGCTTCTTTGAAGTCCTGCGAGGGGGTCAAGTTAACTGTTAATGCTGCTGAAGGAATAAGATGCATTGGTGGTTCTTGAGAGTCCTTCCCCAAAAAGTTCATAAAAAGACCCCCGAGGGAGTGTTGCGTTGCTAATCTCTCTATTGCCCCTATCCCTATCTCCTCCATCTTTTTTCTATGTTCAAAATACCCAATATACTCCGAGCAAATGTGATCACCTGGATTCACAAACAGACATGGGACCCATTTGGAGATTGCAGCAAAGGAGTCTATTGCCACATTCTTGTCGTGATTGTTATTACTCTTCTTGACTGACGCCACAAAAGCAAGACTGGCTGTGACAACGCTGGTTGCAATTCGGATCCCATGTTTGACTGTCTTATCCTGGATTCTCTCAATTGGGGCTGAAAAGAAGGGCGGGTTAAATAAAAAGGCTTCAAGAAACACACCCGTTTTTGCCATAGTCTTGCCCGCGAGCATTGCCATGGCAGAACCAAGGGAATGACCGGTCAACCATACATTTGACCCTCCAAAAGTTGCCACCATGTTGCGCACAGCTTGGATGGCAGTCTCAAAACGAGACGAGAAATGGAGTTCGTTTTTTATGATGTGGATATCCAATTCTAGGTCCCGTGAAAATGCGTCTCCCTTTGTAATGGTCCCTCGGAAAGCAATGACGTGGCATGGAACTCTTTTGTTGCTATTGCATGCAACACCTGTGTACTCATAAACAGCACCAAAGATGGAAGAATCTTCATTGTCAACAAGTTGGCGGTATAACTTGAATTGGAAAAATTCCCACCATGGAGGAGCTAGAGCCTCAGTTCCCTGCCGCTTCTCCTGTCGATCTCTCTCCAAAATGTAGACGCCTTGAACCAAACATGCAGCAATAGATCTCCTATTCTCCAAGTTATCCCTACAATGGTAACTTGGTAAGACGTTTCAGGACTACGACTCACGTTTTCATTTTTCTATTTTAAAAAGAAATACAATAAGCAATCTTCTAAAAAACACTAGCTGGTGGATAATAGGTTCTAGCGCTTAGTAATTTCTCAAATTGGCTAAATCTAAAAATACAACCCATATATATGGTGTAGAGATATTCCTTCACTAAGATCTTTTAGGAGGAAACCTAAATCTCAACAGCGCCTAGGAATTCGGCGTGGTCAACTAAAAAAACAATCAGGCAAGAGGAATTAAGTGACTGGGCCTGGATTTTCAGAACACAATCCCTACCTATTAATGAAAAATGCTATTTTTAAGGTGGTGAGTTTATCATAACATGACAAGCAAACCTTAGTAGGTTGCTGCTAAATGACCGTAACAGAGAGTATTTACTGCGTTTTTCCTTATCAGATTGCTAGATGATCATTCATTGGTGAACACAATGCATTTATGTAGTTAATGGACAGTCATTAGAGAACGGAGATAAGAGGGAGTGAGGGGATCAAGTAGGGATTGTTCTGTTGCGCTGCACCATGCACAATCTCAAAAGCTATGTGTCATAGTGATAATAAAAAAACTCAAGTTTGTAAGTAATTGATTTAAAAACATACCAGATTAAAAGCCTGTATAGTAAGAATAAGTCTGTGAAGTTGCTATATTGACTGAATCTACTAAAGTGCCAAAAAATATTAATAAAATAAAGAAAATGAAAAAACTGAACTTACCATCTTCACCCAATTCAACCCGAAAAGCACCCACAAGTCCACACCCTTACCTTTTATTATTATTACCCAACTTTATGCAAGTAATAAAAATGTCGGTGTTTAGTAAAATTCTTGTTGACATTGCTTAGAAGTCTAAAAGCAAGCTTACCAAACGGGCTTTAAGATCTAGCTTACCAGTTACAAGCATTTAGATGCAGGGGCCCGGAAATGTAGAAGTCTTCCCTCTCCGATGCCATCACGTCTTGTTTCTGTCTTGGACTCCTGGCCACAAAAAGAAGAAAAGACAAGAGAAACCTGTATTCATCAAAGAGCACAAGGCATTATCTAAAAGACGACTAAAAGGGTAAATACAGGCTGCAAAATCTCAAAGCTCTAGTCTCTCCATTGTTTCAAATTACGTGTGGGTTTAGTGTGCTTAAATGGGCTAGCCTGAAATTTTGGTCAGGAATCACCATGATTCCATACTACAACTTGCAGTAAAACAAAATCTGTCCAGCCATTGCTTTTTTGGCAGATTGAGAAGATTGCAGCTTAAATGACAAACACAAATCGTCATTTCAGCCGCAGAAATGACCATATACTTTTCACTCGATCAATTTAGAAATTAGATCTCCCATTATTCAATACAAACTCCAAAATCAACATTACAACGACTCAGTAAAAAAATGTTTTGCACTCCTCCTCTCCGACCAACGATGATTCATCCATAAACCAGCATTCATTCCAATCTTTCCTTATTTAGAATCGTAGATCAAAGTCATGACAGGAATTCCTACTCACGGGATCCAAAGATCGCAGATCAAACATATAAAACCGCGCATTATGATTCTGAATAAACCACATTATTTCAATTTGTTTAAAGAAAAACATAAAGTAAAAAGCGGAATGAGCTCAATAGAAAAGTTGTCACCTTTGAAGAAGAGATGAGATTTGATTTCTTCGAGCACTCGTCACTCGCCAGTCACCAGTTCACCACATTCGTCCCGTTGTGTCGGTGATACAACTACACAACTCATACGGCTTCTCATACAACAACAGACTTTTAGTCTTTGACAGAGATAAATGCGCACGGAAAAGCACTGGTCACCTTCCATTTTCATTTTCACGTAGATTAGAAAAAACAAATCTAAATTAGGTGAGAAAGAATGAAAGATGAGTAAATAGGCTAATTTGAGTGTGTACCTCATTTTATCGTCAAAATTAGACTTTGCACCTCATTTTTTAAAATATTTTTTTTTGCATCACAAACCAATATGAAAAGACAAAAATGTCTCTCGATCAGGAATATGAAGGCCAACAAAATGGTTAATGGAAGAACATTTTTATCTTGGATTGAGTGCAAAAACAAAGATTCTTAAAAACAGGATGCAGAGTCCAATTTTGACAATATAATGGATGCAAACTCAAATTACCTCTAAAATATACTTCGTACTTCTAGCCTCAAACAAAACTGTGTTGTTATAATACTCCGTATTAAAAAGAATTAAATTTTGAAAAAAACTACGGAGTAATAAATATTGATCCTGAAAAATTATGCACAAAATTGTAACTTCATAGCTATTAAGGATTATAATTGTATTTAAAGTTTACATCACATCAACTACATATAGGTCACTATGATGTAAACTTTAAACACAACTATACTCACTAATAGGTATTAAAACACAATTTTGCCAACGTGGAAATGTGTTCTACCTCATTTTTTACCACTAATAGGTCTATAGTCTATACAAGATACTAATGTCGAGCTATTTTCCGCAAAGCGTCCCCTACAATATCGTCACCAACAAAAATTTCACCACCAAGTTCAGGATGGATTGGTTGGTTCCTCAACGTATAACCCACTTGACTATATAAACTTCTATAAGTTAGTCATAAACGTTGATTCTGGGTCTTAGGACATCTCCATCCATGGAATTATTAGAGTATTAATAAGTTAGTGATGTGACAAATTATTTTTGGAATTATGATTGAGTGATGAATATTATTTAAAAAAATAATCCGGAATTGAAATATGAATTTAGATCATCTCCTGATTATTTAATATGATGAATGACGTAATTTAGAAGCTGTGAGATTATTTTGAAAAAATGAATGTGTCATTAAATAATCTCTTTATTTAAACATCCTTACGCTTGAGCTATAACACTCAAACAAATTCTCCATTTGAATATCGTTAACGTGTCTTGTCACTTGCGGACAAGTAGCCTCTCAACTTTCTCAAAATTCTGACAATAGTACGGAGTACCCTACGAATAGTTTCTCAAAAGTTAAATGAAAGGACGATATAATTATCTAGAAATAAAAAACATCATCCACCCTCAAATCTCTTCTTTGTGGGAGGTTTTGGGTTCAATTCCCATCAAGGGGAGATGAGAGATGTCTTGCTCTCAATAATTCTTCATACTTTCACGGAGTTGTTCAATGATTGAGAAGGGAGAGGATGTTAATGAAGGTAGCGGGTTCGTGAGATGATGCAAGTCCTGCTAGATTCATCCTTTGGAGCCAGTACTGACGAAGTTGACTGTGATCAGATCCGGATTTAACTGTCTAGAGGCTTTGGAGGGTAGTTCATAGACTCCAGGATTATGAAAGCGTAAGCCCCGACACCTGGATTATAAAAAAAAACATCAAGGATCTGGTGTTGTGTAATACTATCTCTGTCTCAAATCTTTTTGCAAAGTCAATAATTTTTTGTCAATCAATGTTAAAGTTAAATCATCTCTATTGATCATTAATTCAATTATGATAATTAGAATTTACGTATTCCAAAACTACATTAAAATCTCTATTAAGTTGCAAATTCCAAATTACTACATCCATCCCCCTGTTATTGTCCCATTGCGGTTTACGATGTTTGACTGATGATAAAGCAAACAGATCCTTTTCCGCACTAGAATTATTTTTAGAAAAATAATTGCATATTCAGAAAATACATTAAAAAAATTACAAAGTCGCAAAAATCAGAATCAAATTTGATAAAAATTTAATAAATAAAGTAAGAGATTAAGAGTGATTTGTGTTGTTGACCAAGTGAATAGGAAATGAGACAATAACAGGTGATCTATCATTTAACTAAGAATTGATATCATAATTAAGAGGATAAAATGAGTCTCTGAATGGAGTTGGATCTTAGAAATTGAATGAAATCGAACTGGCTGAATTGTGTCTGAATGTGAATAATGAGTTCTCTGAGAGATGCCTCTAAGTAACTTTGTATTCTCCCAAGTGAAGTTCTAAAGTCTTCTTTTATACGAAGTATGTTCATTGATATATGCGACATTAGAAGCAACTATTTTTATACGGAGTAATCAAGAAGGAATAATTCTAACCACAAAAACTAGCATGTAGCATGCTGGAGTCTACCAGGGTCCAGGAATGAATTATTCTCATCACATAAAAGGGAAATTTCTAGGTACATGTTATAATTCATCATGTACCATATCTTTGCCTTGTTGGACTAATCAAAACCCTACCTATGGATTCTTTAAGCACCTATACGAAACCTATTTATTTGCATGTCAATCCCTGTGGTGAAGCTCTATTTTTTGACGGAAGGATTGAAAGGGTGAAATTAAACGGATCGAGAAGCTCTATACTAAACGTCTTTGAACACAGAACGAAACAAAGATGGTGCTGCAGTGCTATATTCTCGAAGAAGAACGCATGGAAAAAGGGACAAATGTATTTTCTGTTGGGGAAATGTCGTCACCTCCTCCTAGCTGTCCAAATCTGGTTGATGGACACAGGACACATAACACTCCAGTGAAATGCTCCTTCATTTCTTTCCGATAATTTTGGGGGTTCATGGTAACTCCTGCCTGATGTCCTCTTTCTTCTCACATGGTTGCTTGTTTGATTCTGCAAAGAAAAATAACAGAGAATAACATGACTGGAGACGCGTAAACGCTGTCCTCAGAAAGTATTTCTGGTGGGCGAAAATCTTTCCCAAGGATATAACGAGCCCTTCGACTATATATAAGTCGGAACCAGAACTACGAGGAAAACGATCATTATATCTTATGAAAACGAAGCCTTCATAAGATATCGCTATATTAGGTAAAACTTTGGAGAAGATAAGTTGCATATAGAATAGGTTAACTGCCGATCAATTCATAGAGACACACTCCCACTACTGATTTTCATTGTTTTTATATTAATATATATAATAGGAATTTCAGTTATGGATCCTATAAAGGTGGAGATAAAATGAGTGAACAACTCAGATCGACGTTTCATGAAATACAACCATGTCATACGAGAATAGTCGTCAACAAAGGTAACAAAATATTTAAAACCAGCTTTAGACACAACCGGGCAAGCACCCCAAACATCAGAGTGAACAAGGTCAAATGGAGCATTTGCTCGTTTATTAACTCGCGGGCCTAAGCTAGTACGATGGTGTTTCGCAAATTGACATGACTCACATTGTAAAGAGGTCGTCTTATTAAATTGGGGATTTATTTGCTTCATTAATGGGAGAGATGAATGTCCTAATCGGTAATGAGCATCTAACAAAGTCCTAACCCCAAGACAAGAGATACCTTTGGTGATGGATGTATCCAAAATATATAGACCAGCTGACTCATGTCCTTTACCAATAATTTGCATCGTTAACAGATCCTGAAACTAAAATATTTCTATTACAATGAAATAAAAATGAATATAAATAAAATATTGATTAAAACTAAAAGAAAAACGAGAATTTGATGAGTATGTTTTTAAATATTTCTATTACATTTTATGAAAAATAATGACTATTAAATTTAATTCATAATAAAAGTAAATATAAGGACAAATATACGAAGTATATAATATTGATGCTTGTACACATTTTTGCTTCATTATATTTAAAATGCAAAAAAAAACTAACGGAAAAGTTAACACCGTTAACTCCGATTTATTTATGTGAAAGAGTTAAATAGTTCGGACTATTGTTGTAAACTTTTTTGGTAGGTATTATTATTGTAAAATGCACAAAAGTAGTTATTATTTATGTCAATTTCGCCTTAGTAATTTAGTACATGCATTTAGTTATTGTTGCAGGCTTGCAGAGCCAACCTAGGAGTTTCCAGTTGGACAGAAGAGAGAGGACGGAGGACTGGCCAACCGCCGACGAGACAAAGGAATAGGCCGAACAACAGAACAGCAGCATTGCCGATGTGCCGATTGCAGAGACGGAGAAGAAGACGCCGGCAACTAGGAGGAGCGGTTGTGGGCTGGCCGGAGAGTAGAAGGACCACGAAGGCGGTTAGCTTCTGAAGACATCAGTTACAATGGTCCTACGGTGCATCCTTTGTTTAGCCCTTCATTCGCGACACTGCATCAAATCCTCATTCTCAAACCCTAACACCGAAATCAAGTACAAAATTCCCCCCATTTTAGCCTCCAATTTCTCCACCTCCTTCCTTGTCACTAAAACCCCCAAGAAATTCCGCAAAAAACGGAAGAAGAAGGAGAGTCCGAGAACCAAGCTGGTCCAAACCGAGCCAAACCTCTCCCCGCACTTCGAGAACCTACTCGTCCGCGACAACCACTTCCGGTTTCTCACCAAAACTAAAGACTTCCTCTCCAAACAGCCGGAACGCATCCTCCGCCTGGACGATGCTGGGAAACTCCACCAGCAGCTCGGCTTCCCCCGCGGCCGAAAGGTAGTAAAGTTCATCCAACACCACCCATTCATCTTTCAGATCTATCGCCACTCCGACGGAAAGCTCTGGTTAGGTTTCACTGAATTTATGGATGAATTGCTGGAAGAAGAGTCCAGAATCATGAATAGTATGGAAGAGAAAAGAGTCGTCGTGGTCAGGAAATTGTTAATGATGTCCAAGGATAAAAGAATGGCTCTCAGTAAGATATACCATAACAGGCTTTTGTTCGGTATACCAGAAGATTTCCGGGATAGGATTGGGAAGTATCCAGATTATTTCCGGGTAGTTGTCGAAAACGACGGGAAGAGAATAATTGAGCTCGTGAACTGGGATCCGCTGTTAGCCGTGAGTGAATTGGAGAAGGAATTCTTGGTGGATGAAGATAAGGCAAAGAAGGCATTTAAATTTCCAGTAAAGCATGGGAAGGCGTTGGAGCTGGATGAAGATGATGAGAGGAGGTTGAATCTGCTGAACACATTGCCATTGGTTTCTCCTTATTCAGACAGTGGCGGTAAGATGGATTTGTGGACGCTGGAGGCAGAGAAGTTTAGGGTGGGAGTGATCCATGAGTTCTTGAACTTGACATTGGAGAAGAGGGCGTATATACATAACATTGTGGAGTTCAAGGATGAGTTTTGTCTGACTAAGCATACTTACCAGATGCTTAAGAAACAGGCTCGGACGTTTTACCTAGGTGGTACTGAGATGAACTGGTGTGTCTTCTTGAGGCATGCATATAGTGGGGAAGATGGGAGTTTGATCAATAAGGATCCTCAGGTTGTATTCAATGAGAAGTTGTATAAATTTGCAGATATGCAACCATGAATTGCAGGCTCCCAATAAGTCAGGAATGTAATCTTCTACTTACTGTATGCTATTATCCCGAGTGTCCCGGCCATTTTAACTAGTCTCACAGTTTTTTGAGTTAACGGCCAAGTTTAATACTACCTTCATCCCGACATAAGTTTCTCATCGAAAAATGATACTGTTATTTAGAAAATAATTAAATTAGGTAAGTTGAGTATATTTTAGAAGTAATTTTGATATGTATATAACATATTGAAATCATTGATGCAAACAGTATGTGGTCTTACAGGTGTATTAAATTTTATATTGGATGACTAATTTGTTACTCCCCGTATCGAAAAGGTTGACCAAAGTTGACTTTCATGTGGATTAATAAAGTAAAAACTGTGTGGTTGAAATTTGTGCAGAGGAGAGAGAATTAATTTTAGCCACATATTTTTTACTTTAAATGGAAATGGCAAATATTTTTGGGACATGCAAAAAAGGAAATTTGGCCAACCTTTTCGGGACGTAGGGAGTATTTAAGAGTGCTAATTATTTCCAAAAATAGAAATGAGAAACTTTAGTTGGAATGTTCAAAAAAGGCAAGTGAGGGAAGCTTAAGTTGACACGGAGGGATATCTATTAGCTCTGTTAAAGCCCCCTTGAATGCAATAGAGTGACATGATAGAGATAGACATTGTGCTTGACATATTGGTATTGAATTTCCTTTTCTATTTTAGAGGAAGGGAACCATTCCTAGGCAACTTTGATTGCTATGGGTGTTCGTTTTAGCTGTACTGGCATTCCCTATAGTTCTTGGACTAACTCAAATTTCTTTTCCATCAATCTGGCACACAAGGAGTAGTTGGTTCCATGTGTCCTACCTGCAGCGCTAGAATTTGACATTGTTTTGTGGCTGATTTTGTGATCGTAATTTTAAGGTCTTTTTAATACATACTACCTCCGTCCTCCGTCCAAATGGACTTTGCACTATTTAAATTAGGTGAGAAATAAGAATAGTAAATATTATATGATTGAAATTTGTACAGAGGAGAGAGAAATGAACAGAATCACAAAAATAGTTACTTTAATGGTAAAGTGACAAAGTTTTTTGGGACAAAGAAAGGAAAGTTGGCAAAATCTAATGGGACGGACAAAAAAATCTTTAGGTCGTTAACACCAACTATATGCCTTAATAAAACCAATCTCTACTACCAGGACTTTGGATTTAGATATTTTTCATGCACTTTTGTTTTGTTATTTCAACTCCTTTGTTTTCAGATTTCTCTATGTCCTTTTGTTTTCTTAGGATCTCAGGTTTTCCTGTTTCGGGATACAAGTGCACAACTTGCTTTGTGTATATATCTCTACTATGTTTCACCCGAAGACAAACAAACTATGAAAAATATGTTTGTTCACGTTGATTGCACATGTTTTTTGTATCCATGCCCCTATTTGTCTATGTACAACTGGGTATTTGAAACGGCGTGTACATGTTTGGATGTGTACACGAAACAAAGATCAACAAATAAACATGGGAAATTTCATAAAATGACCAAATCAATATATGCAAGGCCAGCCTTCAAAGACAGATTAGTCAAAGTCTCCTCAACAAAAGTTGCACAGGCATTCACTACAACAAAGGTAAAACTAAGACTCGAGACATTTTACTTCACTTCTACTAACCGGTCTAAATCCCTCTTTCTTGGAAAGATCTGGATTTTGTAAGTTTTAATTGTTCTATTCTCTTTCTTTATCAGCTCTAGTTGTTTTTGTTTTATCACATGCCAATGGAAATTATAATTAATATATCTGCAGATAAAAAGTCCAAATCAAAATGAAAACATAGGATGAAACTCGAATGTAATGAACAAATTCAAGCCTAGATATCTCAGATGCACTTGTTGGGTATCAAAGGAACAACCCTTTATGACCTTAGCGGCCTCTCTATTCGCTTCAATTCATTTCTAATTCAAAGAGAGTTCAGAAGATACAATAGATGATGTTTATAACAAAGTAGAAGGGAGAAATAACATGACAAAGTTCGCCGTGAAATAAATAAATTGAAATAATGTGGGATATTCTTTTCTCTCTTATTCATTATCACGTCTTTCCAGTGCACTCCCACTAATAGATATGGAGTACTTTGTGTCTAAATTTGTCTCATAAAATTTGTTCAAATTTCCTTTTTGGTTGTTGCCAAAAACTTTTGTCATTTTCTTTTAAAGTAATAAATACTCCCTCCATTCCAAAATGATAGTCCTGTATTTCCTTTTTGGGATGTCCCAAAATAATGATCATGTTTCCCTTTTTGGAAAGAAAGATGTGGTCCATATCATTTCACTTTATTATACTCAAATCTCAATCACAACTTTTACCTTTTCAACCACTTTATTAAAACTTGTGCCCAAAAGAAATGAGATTATCAAATTGAGACGGAGGGAGTACTACGCTATGTGACTAAAGTTATTTTTCTTTCCTCTACACAAATCTTACCGTTTTTATTTTGTTATTTTACGTGCAAGTCTAACTTTGACCAAATTTTATGAGACGAATGAAATATTATATTCCCATTTTCTCTCACCCTGCACAAAATGATTGTTCAATAAGCCACCAAGGACATTTTCAACATTAGGGTATCATTTACATTCACCAAGACACACCACACTTGCATATCGATGACATACATATCCAAAAAAATTATTTTTCTGAGCGATGGATAATACCCTCTAGTCATGTCATAACAAAAAGTCTTGGAATTTCTAAAAGTACCAATTTGGGTAAAGTTCCATGATTTACCGATGCAATTATGGAATGATGAAGCCATGAGTGAGGTAGCTTCCATGGTTGGGGTTCCAATAACAACGGATAAAATCACACAAGAAAGGATCAACAATGACTATGCTAGAATGTTGATAGAGGTTGACGTCTCGAAGCCATCACCACTCTCGTTTCCAATACGACTACCTTCACAAAAGGTATTAAAGCAAAGTGTGGTTTATGAAACGTTTCCTAGTTATTGTTTTCATTGCAAGGAATTTGGGCATCACCCGTTCATTTGTAAGAAGTTATCAAAAGGAGGGGTTGGGGTAAATAAGGAGAAGGAAAAACTTGATGTGGTAGGGGATGTAATTGAGGTAGCAGGAGCTATTACTGCTCGGCCAGAATCTGCCCTGGGGCAAAACCCGCCCGGGTTGCCTCCTTGCCCGACCGGGTCACAGGGAAAAAACAAGGCCCAGGGCCAAAACCCGACCGGGTGCCCGCCTAACCCGACCGGGTCCCAGGGGCTGGGGGTTACCCAGACTGCTGCAGTCTCTGATGGAAGCACGCCGCATGTCCAAGGATCCTCTGAAGCTATTTCCGAGCCTGTTTCGGAAGATATTGAGAGGATTGTGATGAAGAAAAATGAATTGAAGCTAAATGATGTGGTCATTAATTGTGAGGTGACAAACGGTAAGACGTTCAAATTGGTAGTCAAACCGTTTAAATTTGTGCACGCTAGTGTCATTAGAGTCGATACTTCCCTTCGACTCACGGACGACTTGGATAGAAAGGGCCTAACTTTCACCGCTAAATGTTTTGAAGGCCTACCGGGAGTTACTAAGAAAAAAGGGGAAGTTTGCTTTGACTCAAAGTTCACTATTCCTTTTAGGTCTTTCTTTGGAGTTTAAATTAGGAATACCTAATTAATTATTGAGATGGCTTTGTAAGACTTTAGTTTGTGTCCAAGTTGGATGTGTGAGAACGTCAGTATTGAGTTTTGTGGTATCCCATGAATTGGGATATGCACTTTGATTGTACGCATGATGCATTGTACTATGCTATTTTTCTGGATATATATATATTTACATTTTATCCAAAAAAAACAAAAAGTCTTGGTGTGCACCTTGAGTTATACGATGGAATATGCATGATGACTTGTATTTTATTCTTCAAGAAAGGACTTCATGACTTTGGGCTGTGTGATTGACATTGCTCCATAAACCCTTAGTTTCCGATAATTGCCCATCTAAATTGTGGGCCTTATAATATTACAATCACAAATTAGTTTGTATAATCAATTAAGGGGTATCAACCAATTAAGGAGTGTTATACACTTATACATGGATCGTGGTGAAGTTTCATTTTTCTGTGGATTTTTAAAAAATCATAAACGGTTAAACCGTTAAATTCATTTACTTTTTATGAATCAATCGATTTTATTTGAATGATATATATCAATTTTGTGGAAAATATAAGTTCAAACAAGAACAATGTTAACTAACATGTGATCACAAGTCTAAACATTAGAAGAGGGTCAAGTACATTAGTACACAAAATGAGAAAATTCAATAAAGAATCTCAAACGAAACAATTATAATTCAACTAGTAATGAGGAATTAATTTTTCAAAAACGTAACAAACTAATTGGAAGGATAGAGCCAATTTCAGACTAGTGAAAAAACTAATTTGGTCCCTCCAGTGGGATTTTAACGTCATTAGCTCAGGAAGATGGGCTGTTTTACAAATAACATAATGTAGAAAGACCCACGGCCCCTAAATTTACCTCTAGCACGCACATCTCAATGTGAGAACTGTTAAAATCAATATTGTTTGAACCACTGTTCCACACATCATTCCTATCCAGATGCCCTGAAAATAAGGGGGTTAAAAACTAGCCCAGCCAAAACATAGTACAATGACACAAACTTTGCTTCCGTGATCTTAAACATAGTTAGTAATTCATAATGCAAATACAATTACCTTTAATCCGAAATGGTATTAGTATCCAAGAGTTACATATGCCACCAGCGCCTGCCAACCAAATCCAACAGCTACTCCTATAATTATGGTTGTGTTAGGCTATAAAAAAGATTGACTTCTGTGGCGAAAATGGTTTTTTATTAAATAGCCCTAAGCCCCTTACCAAACAGACCCTTACAATTACAAGAGACTGGATTTTATGTTTTCTTGCCTGAGAGTATGGGTTGAATGCAGTTGATGAGAAGAGTAGTTGCTAACAAGAATGAAAGGTCATGAACCATTTTTATAACAAAGGTGTTTGAGGTAAAGATCATAGCAAGCTTCTCAGGAAATGCCATAATAATCAACCAAAACAGAACGCTGATTATAAAAGAGTTCAAATGTTCAATAATGACACTTTAGTTGCAAGCCTTGCTCCTTTTCTATTTCCTGCTCCTAGTTCATTTGCCACACGAATCCTGTTAAGTAGAACATAAAATACATGTTACTTTAGTAAACATAAGTCTTTGCTTAATTTCCCTTTAATTATTGTTTCCTTGCCTAATCAGATAACTAGCATCAAATTCTGCTCAAGGATTAAAAAGGCTCAGTTTGGACTTTGGTAGCTAGCTCTGGCTTGTTCTGCTTATAAGCAGGATAAGTAGCTTTTGCCCAACTTACATGGCATAAGTATATGTCACCAACATTTTTTCTTTTTGAAAAGATTTCGAGAGATTCAACCATTTAAAAATGAAATGAAAGAATCTACAATTACCAACATACCCTGTTGCGGCAAATAGCCCTAATGGAATCATGGCTTCCCAACCGATGATAGTAACACTGTAGAACAAGGAACAGTTTATTACCCCCACCATAAAACAAAAACACATTTAGGCTATGTTTGGCAAAACATGCTGATAAGTCACACCTGATTAGCTAGCTGATTTAATATATTGTTTTGTAAAAAATAGGTAACAAGCTGACAAGCTACTATAGAAATATAAAATGACATAGAAAGGTATATTTAAAAAAATGAGGTTGAAATGAAACTATATACAAAATCTAACTAGCTTGTATGGAAAGTACTCTATGAAGCTTGGCTCAACCAAACAAAACTTATTTGAAAAAACTTTCTCAAGAAGATATAATAGCTAGCTTATAAACTACCTTGTGTTGTGCCAAACGTAGTCTTAAATTAATTTAAGAAAAGACCACACTGACCAGAAGGAGAGAGCATCAATGGAAACATCATTATTCTTCATATAGCCTGAGATGATGATTAAAACTCTAAAGTAGAAATTCTCCAATCTGAAATGACAATAATTTATTTTTCTTTTTCTGTCATGAGATCAATATTCACTACTGGAAGCACTGAGTGCAGGACAGAGAGAGAAAGAGAAAGAAACACACAAGAGCATAACTCCAGAGGCCAAAGAAAGCTTAAAAACTCCTAAAGACCAAAGATCCCTTGCCTAGAGAAACCAGTCCGGGAATGTGGGCATCCTCCAAAGACAATATAAGCAACAAGTCCAATAACAGAAGCCCATCATGAAATATCAAGAACAATACCAGTTCCAACAATCCCAACTCTAAATGTATAAACAAAAACCCAGTTCAAAACTACGTGGAGTAGAAGTGCTCCACCACATACCCAAATGATCATCAAAGTTTTTAGTTGGCACTGTAGGAATCTCATCAATGTAAACTGAAAGGGAAAGCTCAAGTGCATAGGGATAAGCCACATCGCCACCTCACCGGTCAATACGGCCACGTAATCTGGCTGACCCAAAAGTTCCGTTATGGGGGAGGCAAACATAAAAAGAGGCAACAGAGCAATAGAGCTCAAAGAGAGCAGAATACATGAGCGCTGCAAGTAAATGCCCAGCATGTGATACTGCTTTGCTCCATAAGCTTGGCCACAGAACGTTTTCATTGCACTTGCCATTCCAAGCTGGATACTGTGCAAGGGACACATCAAAGCAGTATCAATTGAGAAAACTGCTACATTTTTAGTTCAGATGTTTTGATTGGAGATTAGTGTGTGTAACACATTTCACATGGATAGGATGTTACTCCATTAGGCTCTGACAAGTAATGGATTCCAATAGAAATAAAGAATGAGTGCACATACTAAAACTAAAGATTATTCTGCTAAGTCACATGCTAGACACTAATTTTTTGGGGCACATTTAAATTATCTACAATTCTACATTAATGAAGCATTATAAGCTACCCTTCTAAAAAACACATTGCAGTATGCTTAGAAATATGTAATGTCATGAAAAAACTTCTTGGAATTAAACATGCGAAAAAGAGTATAACAAGATGTACAGAATATCAAACAGGCAACAAGAGAAGTGTTATAATTCTTGGAGAGTGAGAATAGTTAAAGGACTAGGTTTTAGCTCAACATACCAATAAACCAAAGGTGATGCCTATGAGAAGATTTTAAAATCGATCGACGCATATGTTTTTTTATTAGCTTGATGCGTTCAATAGTGGTAAGTTTAGATTACTAATGCACATGTCTCATGGTTAATAATCTAAAGAGAGATTATTTATATTGATTAAACCGATTAAACGGTTGTGTTGATATTATCAATCTCAGTTGATTTCATCTAAAATTTATTGCTATTATTGGATCAATATAAGGCGTTTGCTCTATATTGACTATGTTCTATATTGACTAAGTAGTAAGTTTTATTAATGACGTGTATCAATGAATTGAAAATACTCAACGATTGAGTATTCCAAATGGGATAGTTAAAGTTAGAACAAGAATCGACGAACATTTCATTAAGTGGAAATTAGCAAAATTAATTCCTTATTCCCATTGATATTAAGGATGTTTTTACTTGGACTGTTTTCAATCCAGACCAAACCAGATTTAAATAGACCAAACCAGACAAGACTTCCATAATTATAAAATACACAGAGACCAAACATGTACCAGTCCAATTCAAACCAGACCATACTAGCAAATCTCAGTCCAAGTCAAAACATCCTAAATCACATAATTCATTCATATTAGTGTTAAAATATTTTTAAATTCAAACAATCAAAAAAATCCCTTTGATTACCACTTCATACAAGAAGAGTTACCTTTCCTTGTGAATACGAACCTTACTACATTATACTACGGTATTAGTACGAATATTGATTTTATTTTGAGGCACACAAAGACTTCAGTACCGCCAATACTCAAGCTAATTTTGACACTAACTCATTCACTTGAGGTCCAATCTCAAGACGTTTCGCACCTCTCCAGAGTTATAAGCATTAATAGATGTCTTCAGCAAAAATGACATCAAATACAAATTGGACTTCATCTTTAGGTATATTAGGCTGATCTATCAAAAGCTGCTGGAAGAGACTTAAATCATTGGCCACACTGGGTTTAAAGGCAATTGTTGAAGTTGCAGATAACACGGAAGATTTAAGACAGTACTCTGATCGGTGCATCTCACAAAGAATACTAAGCCCATCTAAGCAATCTGCAAGACTTGGGTTGATGCCAATTCGTTTCTGCAACTGTTTCATAGTTCGTTGGCCCAATCCAGATTTTACATGCTCTCTACAATCACGAACAATCTTCTCGAAAGATAAAACAATGGAATGAAATTCTTCCAGTGTCTTGTTCATAGAAAAGAGAATTTTTTGCAGAGAATTCAACTGTTTTGCCAATACAGCATTTTCAATACCTTGAATGCATTTCAAGGCACCATAGTTTTTGGAATTTTGAATCACCTGCAACCTCTGGATGATGGATGAGGCTCTAGTAAATTGGGAAAGCAGTCTAGTTTGAAGCTCCTCCCACCTATCAGTCTCATTCTTCAATTTTCGGAACCTCTGCTGACATTTCTTAACAGTGGAATCCATACTCAAACATTAGGGTTTGATAAGTAATGAAAAACTTTGAATATTGAGCTTCGAATCTGCGCTTCAGGAGTTCTCCCACTAATTACGCTGCACCATGGCGGGACATTGAATAGCTTCACAGAATCAGAGCTTCTGCAATCGGCGCTTCGAGCTTCTGCAAAATAGACAACTTGTATTTTGATTAGATTCATTTAAAACCCATCAGTAAGCCTTTAAAATAGCTAATAACACTCTGAAGCAAGTTTATCTAATTCAGATTTTCAAGCCACATCTAGCCTTTGTATAGTGGAATGATCGAATCTGCTTATAATTCATTTGCCTAGACAGACGACTGCAAATTTGCATTGACAACTTGGATAAGACTTTCAAGTTGCATGCTATGAAATAATATCATAAAATCACACATCTTACTTTTATTTATATTATTATTTAAACACACCAAAAGTAAAAGATAATACTGCTAATGTAAAACATTAGAGGTATTAAACCATTTTAAAGCAAATGGATGACTCTAGAGAGAGACGCATGAGTACATTGTGCAGAGAATCCAGGGTAAGTTCATGAAAGTAGGGGTGATTTATTATAGAAAGTGTAGTGAACTAGTGGATCTACATTAAATGTAAAAGGATGTGGCAGAGGCTATGGAAGATGCATGCGCTTTTACATTTTTCTAGCATTTGTTCAATGATATCAATCAGTGAAGATGAACAATTTCGTTATATCACCCTCTTTTTACACAAGTAATATGGCATGTTATATCTAAGTTCTTTTCTTTTAGAAAATATTTTAACAATTTCATTTGTTTTAAAATTTTTACAAAGAACTAGTATCTTCACTAATGTGTTGCACTGTGCAAGACAAAAACCGGGCTGGCCCGGTGGACTACCCGGCCCGCTCTTATGGGCGGGTATGGACATAGGGTTAGGCCCGTTTTCGCGGGCCGGTCCGGGCCCGCCCGCCCACACATGATGGGCAAAAAATTTATAAAAAGCCCAGCCCGAACCCGTTTCGTACAGGTCTAGTTGCACAGGTGTAGGAACAACACAAAAGTTAAGTTATATGTAAAATATAAGATAGTAAAATAACGTATGATATAATTAAATGAGTAGCGATCCTGTCAGGACGGCCTAACAAGATTCGCCGTCCGGCCGAGGGCGTTTGGGGCCCTTCCCGGTGGAATTTTTTAAGCATGCTCTTCATCAAATCTAGTTTATGCCCACCAAATTTCAGCTTAAAATTCAATCGGGAAGGCAATTAAATAAATTCTCTACAAAAACTGTGTTGTTTATATATATAAAGCGCATTTTTTGTAAGCAATTTATTTGTCTGCCTTCCGGATTAAATTTTTTGTTGAGATTTGGTGGGAATAAACTAGATTTGATTAAGAACATGTTAAAAAAAATTCACCGGGAAGGACACCAAATGGCCTCAGCCTGACAGCGGTTCCCATCAGGCCGGCCTGATACGATCTGCCCTCATTAAATGAAACGTTCAGAAGTCAACAAAACTACTACGGAGTATGCGCCACACATACAGACACAGCAGACAGATACATAGGGAATAATTCTGTAAGAAATCATCATTATTAAAGTGTGAACACATGAAACACACGTACACGTATACAATACACACTGTGGACAGAGATAGGGAACATTTCTGTTGAAACTTGAAAATCATCATTCTTATTTTGAGAATACATGAAAAGATAAAGATTGCAGTTCATTGGGATGATTCATGAAAATACACAGTTCAATTAGAACAACGTGCAAACTGCAAAACTCTTTCCAGCATGTCAAACTTATTCTACTAAAAAGAGAATCGGAAAAGCTTACAATTTTAGAATAGGATGAAAATCAATGTCCAAAAGAGTTGCTAATGCACGAGAAATGAAATAATATTAAATTACTCTTTCAGTACTTTCAATAACTGTGTTGTCATGTCTAAGTGTCATGGTAAAGTAGATTTACCAACCGCAACAACAGTAACAAAAAAATCATGTACTCCCTCCGTCCCACTGGACTTTGACAACTTTTTTTTTGTTTATCCCAAAAAACTTTGACACTTTCCTTTTAAAGCAATGTTTTTGTGGCTCTATTCATTTCTCTCTCCTCTGCACAAACCTCAACCACACAAATTTTACTATTCTAATTTCCCACCTAATATCACCTTGGCAAAGTTGAGTAGGACGGAGGTAATACATGATAACCATTTTAATGAACAGACACCAAGAGATGATTTTCTACTTCATGAACCAAGAAATACACAAACAAATGATGAAAGAAGGAAGTATTTAGTTGTATATTGTTGGGCCCGGATCTGTCAAGCGAATCGGCCCATTACATTAGATTTGAGTTTACTGGACGGATCGGCCCACGTGACCTTAAGGAGTCCACAGAATCCGGCTTGGTCAAATGACATGACGAAGTGGATAAGAAGTTGAGGAGAAAATGGAGGAACAGATCCCGATTTAGTAGGGGAAGGCTACCATTTCGCCGGGTAGTTCGTCCACATGGGGAAAAGGGTTGGAAATTCTATTTTAAATAGGCTGGCGGTAGAAGAAAGAGAGAACTCACTGAATTATCTATGCACTTGTAATACCACTTTTCGAATCATACATCCAGATTAATATACTTTCATTCATTAGCTTTCGGTTCTTATATTGTGTTTCTTGTACGATCCCTACATACATATAATTTTAGATTGGTTTAATTCTTGCTTAAACAATTTGGCGCCCACCGTGGGGCATTGTGCAAGGAAAGATCATCAACCATGACCGGAAGCAGCCCTTTGTTAGAGGAAATCCACGCTCAAATGGAGGCAGTTCGAACGGAGTTTCGCTGGGAATTGGCGGAAAGAATGGCACACCTCCAACGAGAGAACGATCTATTACGATCCCAAGTTCAGTCAGCAGTCTCAATCGCATCCAACTCTAGGGGCAATCGAAGGAACGATCTCATGCCCATAGTCACGAGGCTAGATTTGGAATCCGTTCCGACGGCAACGGACACGCCCACCATCGCTTCCGAGCCCATATCTCTCACGTTGGGCCTCTCACCGGCCGGGGAATCACAAACCACCGTCATCTCTCAAGTGATACCGTACACGCCTCTCATCCCTGAAACGACCCCTATCCCGAGCATTCCGACCTGTTTCTTCCCAGAATCGTTGCGCCTAGGATCAAGAAGGATGGGGTTGCAGGCAGCCACTCAAAGCCTACCCATGACGTCAGGCGTGCTATCCCCGACGGAGCCATATGTCACTCATTACCAAAGCAGAACCCGTGACGAACCCGGACCGTCTGGTCTCATGCAGGGAGGGACCCGGAGTATATTCGACGAATTGCCACCTGTATTTCAGGCACAGCGGCATCGTGGACCAACCGCGTCAGCAGGGCAGAATCGTGGAGGACGTCGCCCAGAGGTCATAATCATTCCGTCGCCAACCCGTCCCGAAGCAACCCCGATGGCAGGATTAGCAGTCTCGGCGCCGGAATCCACTCAGCCAGTCCAGGTGGATCCGATAGCAATGATTATGGAGCAACTCCGACAGATGCAGGATAAGATCAATGGATTGCCCGGAGTACCCCTTCCGTTGGATCGGGCCTCAAAGACATGTTATGCGGACTCGCCCTTCAGCAGACAGATTACAGATGTCGAAGTGCCACGCAAATTCAACGTTCCCTCCATGAAAATGTTCGACGGCACATCTGATCCGGTGGAACATGTCGCCCAATACAAACAGCGAATGCTTGCAGTATCACTCCGACCGGATCAAAGGGAAGCATGCATGTGTCGCGGCTTCGGGGCAACATTAGCTGGCCCAGCGCTAAAATGGTTTGTCAATCTGCCTAATGAGGGTATCGAGTCATTTGCAGAATTGGTCGATTCGTTCAATCATCAGTTCGCGAGTAGTCGAATACTTGAAAAACAGACTAGCGACCTCTACAGAATCATACAGCGACGCGGCGAATCGTTACGGGATTACCTACACCGTTTTAACAAAGAAAAAGTTTCCATTCCACGGTGCGATATACCAACAGCAGTTGAAGCGTTTCGGAGAGGCCTATCCGACGACTCAGAATTGTACCGGGAATTGACGAAAGACCCGTGTAGAACCTTTGAAGACGTCCAGGCTAAAACCTTGGCCTTCATCAGGTTGGAAGAAGATCAGCAGACGCGACATCGGCAGGATGCGTATGACGGAGGGCAGCGTAAATCAAGCACGTCCAAAAAACACGATTACAGGACCGGAAAACCCTATGTCAGAACCGAGGATAGACCGGTCTCGTCGATAGGAAATTGGCTCGATGATCCGGATTTACCACCTGTCATCGATGACTATTGTTTCAATGTTGCCACCCCGGGCCTCATTCACTCTCTGGAAAAATTAGGGGAGAAGGTCAGATGGCCTCGAAGGACAGACAAACCAGCGGGCCGTCGAGATCCGAGTAAACGATGTGATTTCCACGGCGATATCGGACACAACACGGAAGATTGCGTCGCATTAAGGAAGGAGGTGGCCTATTTGCTGAAAAACGGTTATCTGACGGAGATCATGTCTGAACGCACCAAATCACTGCTAGGACGGAATGACAAAGCGTCACCAAATGAGTCTAGGCCACCTTCACCCTCTGCGCCATGTAAGGTAATCAACTTTATTAATGGTGGATCTGATTTATATGGACTAACATACTCTGCAGCAAAAAGACACGCCCGGGACTACACCCGAGACAAGTCGTTGCAGGTTTATAGGATCGGAAAACGTCAAGAGGAATGGAGGAATGCATCAATCACGTTTGACGAAACGGACATTTATGATCCGATACAATCTCATCACGATACATTGGTGGTCTCCCTTAGAGTGGCAAACTGCGAAGTCAAACGAATCCTCGTGGACAACGGAAGCACCGCGAATATTACCACCATGAAAACGTTGGAAGAGCTGGGGGCCAAGGAGGAAGATATAACAGGTTCCGGGTCAATGGGGAGCCAAGCAAAACCATAGGTAATATTTCTTTACCTGTATATACCCATGGTCTAAACATGCAGGTCAAATTCGACGTGGTCGAAAGCATACCAGCGTACAACATGATCCTGGGAACTCCCTGGTTGCATCAAATGGGAGCAATTCCATCGACTTATCATCAAATAATCA